CTCAGCGCGAGAGTGCTGGGGAGGAGAGGGACAGGCTAAGGAGGATTTGCCTCCGTGGGTTTTCAAAACACAGGTGCATATCTGGGTCCCGGCTGTGACCTTCCAGAGCCCTGAAGCTAAATCTCTAGAAATTTCAAAGGGACACACTAATGGTACCTGAACAGGCTGAGACCCCTGACCAGCAACACTGGCCTCTTCTGGGTCCTGAGTTTGGCTGGGTGGTGTGCAGGAACTGTGCCGGCCTGTGAGGAGGTTCGGGCAAGCTGGGAGAAGAGGAGACTGGGCATTGAGGAGAAATTAGGTGAAGCCGAGTAGGTCTGACTTGAGGGTCACTGGGGACGCTGAAGCCTTAGAGGTAACAAAATAGTCTAGCCTCTGTAGGGGCTCATTCCAAACCCCGAACCGAGCTTCTCCTTCGCTGTTCTACACCGCAGGCCCAGGGGCCAAGGCTCGCAGCAACGCGACCTTGATAGCCCTTCCTGTTCTGCAGAGGTCCCCTCCGCTGGTCGGACTGACTACGCCCTTCAGTGCCCCAATCTTCCTTTAACCGTGTGCACACCCCATCCCCGGTGGCCATGATGGAGGCCTGTGCTGTGACCAACTAGAACACATCATAACCGTCTGGAAGTGTAGAGGGACCAGGACTGGGGTCCAGGCACAGCCATTAAGAAGGGCTTGGAGACCCAAAGACTTTGGGTTGCACAGACAGCGGGGCAGTCAGTGGCCCTGGTTAGCCTGGTTCCTCCTCTGTCGTGGGGCGCCCTCTGCCGGTATCCCTTAGGGCATTCCCGGGTGGCATCAAGGCCCTTTCTGATAAAGACCCAGCCTGGAGCCACTACCTCTCCTGAACTCCCTGCACCCTCCTCTGTCTGGGTCTCCAGGAAGACTCTGGAGACGCAAAATTGACTTCCTCACGCCCTGCTGATGAATAATCCTTCCAGGAGTCCAGAAGCGCCTGCCTACAGCTAGGCAGGGTTGAAGACCTCTGCCCAATTTCAGAGACAGAAATGGGGGCGGGCGCCCTAAGCCCTTACACCTCAACATCGCGGGTAGGGATGTTTCCTTAATTGGGCCACCCTCCACCGAGGGTGTGTCCTCTAATGATGTTGGGGACAGATAACTTATCCTTGCCTGGCATGGCTGCCCCAGGGTCTATGTGGGGGGAGGATGAGCCAGGCACTGGAAAGCACAGCCAAAGTAGTCCTGGAAAATGGTATAAGCTGCTGAGGCCTGGGGGAGGACAGAAGCCTTAAGAGAGTAGAAGAGTCCCCCCCCCCAAAAAAAAGAAAAAAAACAAGCCCAGCATGCCACTAACAGATGTCACCAAATGGGAATTCTGCAATGACGTCTCGAGGTCAGAGGTCCTGGAGTCCCAGACTCAACCTGCCTAGCACTCTGACTGTAAAACGGTCTCCAAACAACCTCAGGGGCTGCCTCTTAGGAAAGCCACCCCAGAACTCCCCCTCTCAAGAGCCACATGGCATCACTGCGGCGGCAAAGTGAGCATACTTAGAAAACCACACCTACCCCGCCAAGCATCCTTCTAAATGTAACCTGAGAGTCCCCACACTGTGTTGGGCCTGACCAATTCAGTCACACCCAGCCATGCGCTAGGGTGAGGACATATGCTAATAAAAAGAAAAACAAAACGGGGCAGCGGGTGGCACCTGCCTTTGATCCCAGCATTCAGGAGGCAGAGGCAGGCAGATCTCTCTCTGTGAGTACAAGGCCAGCCCGGTCTACAGAATGAGTTCCATGGCAGCCAAGGCTACACAGATAAGCCCAGTCTTGAAAAAACAAACAAACAATCAAAAGAAAGGAGGAAAAGAAAATAGTCTAGTATCCTTTAGGAGCCACCTCTACCAAAGTGGGGGGGGGGACAGGCATAGTGGCTCCAGGCACTTGAGAGGTGAAGACAGAAAGACCAGGAGTTCAAGGGTGTCCTTAGCTACCCAACAAGGAGGTGAACAGCCAGAGCAACATGAGGCCCTTCCCCCCCCCCAAAAAAAAAGGAGGAGTGATAAGGACTGAATTGTGAAGCAGGCCACAGAAGCCAAGGGGGTAGCTTAGGACAGCAAACAGTACATGCAAAGTCTTTGAGGGGTGGGGGTGACATTACAGATGGAGTAATTCAATAGAATTATTTTCAGACATATTGACTCAGAATTTCCTTCCTGAACACCTTTCTGCACAGGCGGCAAAGGGTGGAGGGCCTGAAACCTAGAAAAAGGTGACTCTGCCAGAAGAGAGAAAGGTAGATAGTGTTATGTCTGGTGGCTTGGGTCGCAGAAGTTAGCTAGGGGTAGCAAGAGAATGAAGGACGGTAAAGCTGGATCAGGTGGGGTCCTTCCTCACTTGCCCTGGAACCGGGAACCTCAGCGTGTTTATTAGGTACAGCACAAGGGGCAGCAAGTCCCTGTCAGAGCTGTGTACAGGTCGTAGTTTCAGGCTGCAGCTGCTAGGCTTACACACGTCTGCGAATCATTATCAACACACACACAAACTCCACACATTCTCTCCGGACTGCCTCTGCTCCCGAGAGGGCAGCCAGCGTGGGGATGCACATCTGTCTGGGACCAGGAACAGAAATCCAGGCAAATAAGAGATATCCTGTGCCGTGCCCATGGCTTGGGCTCAGTGCCGGACATAAGCAGCCAACACTAAATCCAGGAGAATGAAAGGTACCTTAAAGAAAATGCATGCCATGTGCCTGGCCATATGCTGAGCTATGATTAGTCCTTCCGAATGCCATATTGAGCTAATGTCAAACAGGAAAGCTGCACTGGAGCTCCAGGACAGTGCAGAGGCCATTGGCCTTATGCAAGCCTAAACTTGCCAGATGTCTGTGCTGTGGACCCCTCCATCTCTGCTCCTTCTCAGAAACCCAGGGCAAGCTCACTCATGATCGTTGCTCAAGATCACTAGAGCCCAAAAATGCCAAATCTGTTGCTAGTCTTGGTGTTTGCTAACCTCAGCAGCATGAGGTCCCCTTCTTCCCACTTCATGGCTGCTCCTCCTACTCTGAGGTCCCTCACTGTATCTGTCTCCTCCGCTCCTCTCTTCGTCCACACTCAGGCACGGAGAACTCAACAGTTAGCTGTCCCACCCTTCTTTCCCTGGTGCTTGTCCAGGTATAGTCTTACAGCTGCAGTGACCTGCCCCATCCCAAATCCTCCTGTTTTCTTTTCATTCACTTCCTCTCTTCTTTTTTTCTCTGTGTGGCCCTGACTGTCCTCTATGTAGACCAAGCTGGCCTTAAACCCAGAGATCTGCTTGCCTCTCCCTCCTGTGTGCCAGGACTAAGGTTATGTGTCACATGTCACTATGCTCCACCTCTGTTTTCAAGTCTTCTGGAATCCAGCCACTTCATTCCAGCTGTTCTCCATGGTGGGTGCAGCCATTTCCCCAAGGGCCTGTATTATCTTCCACAGTCATCTAGAGGTTCTAGCAACCATAAGCACCCTGTTCACATAGACCTAGATTCTGCTGGCTCAAAACCACGCAAAGGCCAGAGAGATCAGTGGCTAAAAGTGCCTGCAAGGCAAGCCTACCAAACTGAATTCAATCCCTGGAACCCACAGTGGAAGGAGACAGCTATCTCCCCAATTGTCTTCTGTGCACATGCATATGTGTCTGTGCATGCACACACACATGTGCGCGCACACACACATACACACATACATTTTACATTTTAAAGATACCACAAAGCTCCCAGGATACTCACCTGCCAAGCTGCCTCTACTCTTCCATTCCCTTGCTTGCTGCAGCCCCCAGACTCCTGCAGGACAGGCTGGATCATGCCTACCAACCTCCAGACCCCTCCATCCCACCTTCCTGGACGATATCCCTACTTTGTCCCATAGGCATGTCCCTAAGGGGACCCTACTCCATCCTTTCTCTGCTATTTGTATCAAGGGCTAATAGCCTCCATAAAATACAGGACAGTTAATCTTGAATTTAGGGTAAACAGTACTTTTGGTGTAAGTACATCCCACAAACGTTGTATAAAAAGTGTTTCTGTATTTGACTTGCTAAATCTGGCAACCTGCACCTAGAACAAGGTTATACTTCTGGCCTCTCCTACAACTAGGAATGGCCAGGGGTGAGAGCAACCAATGGGACAGAAGTATACTTCTACGTCCTCTGCTCAGGGAGAACCCAGAGACCTGGCTGGTGCAGCACCCCTGGACTGCGGTCTCAGCTCTCCTCCAACACGCTCCACGGTGGGGTGGGGTGCTAATCAAGGAACCAACACCCAGATAAGCCAGTGTTGTGCCTAGGGTGAGGCAGTCCAAGGGTGGGGGAAGAACCTTTGGTGGCACACGCCTTTAATCCCAATACTCAGGAGGCAGAGGCAGGCGGATCTCTGTGTAAGTTCAAGGCAGCCTGGTCTACAGAGCGAGTTCCAGGACAGGCTCCAAAGCTACAGAGAAACCCCCAGAAAACAAAACATAAAAACCTTTGCACAAAGTTTCCAATAAAAGTAGAGAGCTATACTCACTTTGCCTGAGCTTTGCCTGCTAAGCATTTAGCACACTTGCGCAGATGTGAGAGGGGCCACTAACTCCCATCCAGAAGTCCTTGGTACCCAGGGGCCAAGGGCAAGTCTGCAGATGGACCCATCTCAGCTTCCCCTCCTGGAAACGGCGTTTACCCATTGCCTGCTGCCCACTGCTGCTCCCTTCTCTAGAAGCCCCAGGTTAGGGACCCAGAGCTCAGCTTCCAGAAAGCCATGCCCACCCTAGTACAGAACCTGGGGAACTCAGAGGAGGTGGGCATTATCAAGATCCCCTGGCCTGCAAACAAGGGCAGGCTGGCTGGCACGGGTCTGAGAAGTCTAATTCACTGCAGTGACAATGTCAGTAGGGCCACATGTTTGGATGGACACCCAAGTGCCCCTTGGCACGGGTGCTGCTGGGGGACAGGGAAACCAAGATCCAGAGAGGGTTACAACAGGGCAACAGGAGCGGCTCTGATGGCCAGAGCAGGGACACGGGACACAGGCATGCTAGCAGGCATTTATTGACAGGGAACATCACTGGCCGAGGATCTTCAGCGTCCAGCCGGCCAGCAGGCACACAGAGCCCGGCGCTCAGCCTGCAGGAGAAGGGTCTCCGTCTGCAAAAGAACCAGAACATGCGGGTAGGACAGAGTTCTTAATGGACACCTTCCTGGGCCTTCCTGGCTTCTTCACTGTCACCACTGCCCTGCTGGGGCTTCAGGCCTCCTCACCTGGCCCCTCAGGTGCCTTATCACCCCCATTCCCTCCAGAGTGGCTGCCGATGCTGGGGTCCCTCCTTATACCCATCCCCACTCTAGTCTTCAACTCACACCCATCACTCAAAGCTCCTCCATCATGCACCCTCTCTTCACAATCCACAAGAGGAGCAGAGGCCTCACTGGAAAGTGGGGAGAGACCCCAGCGTTGGGACTGTGCCCTTTCCTTCCTCCCATTTCCAGGAATTCTCTTTACAGAAGTCAACTCCCCAGGGCTGGAGAGCTACAAGTTCACCCAACCGGTGAGGACCCAAGACTCCAGGACACACACCCAGATCTCTGGTCCTACCTAGCTTTCCATTCCTCACACACCATAGCCTCTATGCCCAGCCTCAGTTTCTTCTTCCTACTCTGGGCTCCTTTCTCACGGGAGATCCGAGTTTAGTACACAGCCGTGGAATACACTATCTACCACAAGTTACAGGACAGAGTGCCCTGAGGCCTCGGCAGAGGTCAGACAGTGCGCTGGGCGTGGGGGCGTTTCCAGGTGAGATCTCCCAGATCCCTAGAGTGGCTAGGTCTTGGGATGCTTACAAACCAAAGCCAGTCCTCCCTGGCCTTCTGTACTCACCCGCGCGTCCAGGCTGTAGGCCGTTTTCCGTAGGTCCTGAAGGGCGCGCTGCATGAATTCAAACGCGTGGCAGTCCACACACGGACGGCCTGCAAGGACGGGGGTCAGCATCATGTGAGGGTAGACAAACAGAAGCCCCAGCCAGGTCCTAGCCAATTACCCAGCGGCGTCCCAGTCCCCGTCGCCTGCCCTCTAGTTCCCACCCAAGAAGTGACCCGCGCAGGAAACAAAGACGCCTCCCGCACGCCCCCTCCTCCAGCACCTACTCTGCGCGGGGACAGCGCTCCCGGCGGCGGACTCGGCGCGGGCGCCTAGCAGTGCCAGGCTCAGCAGCAACAGCAGCAGCAGCAAAGTCGGCGGCGACAGCAAGAACCTGGGCGCGGGGGCCATGGCCGAGGAGGGAGCCCGGGGCCGCCCTGCAGCGAGCAGCACGGTCAGTGACGCCGCACACCAGGCTGCACCCGATCCGGTCCACGGGCGACGACACCGGCCCCGCCCACCCCCGGCTCGCGACCCACAGCCCAGCCCCACTCACGCGTCCTGCGAACTCGGGTACGCTTAGCCCGGTACCACCCTTCCCAGGGCCTCGCGGACCCCCACCTCGCTCTTACCGCGGTTCACGGAACCGCGACCAGCAGCGCGGGCGACTCAGGAAGGAGGACGGAGTACGCACCGCGACCCGCACGCGCGCATGCGCCCAAGCCGACCCCACCCGGGTCCCCGACGTCGTCGTCATGGAAACACCGCGGCCGCGCGCGCCTGGCGCAGGCTGCTCCCACTCTGCGCGAAGCTTATTAGCGCAGGAGCGAAGCGGAGGACACGGGAGCCGGGCTGCAGGGCGCCTACCGCGACCTCCCCATTATGGCCGCACGCTCCGTGCTCGGCCAGCACCTGCGGTGATCAAATGCTGACCGCCGCCGAATTTGATTTCCCGCTCTCCGGGACCCACGCGTGTGGGAGACTAGCGTGGGAGCCAGTCCAGAGCCTGCCAGGAACCGCACACCCAGGCTGAAGGAGTGTCCTAACTGGAGCGTTAGCGCCTCACGGTGGGTGCGGGCAAGCCTGCAGTCAGGAAAGAGCCACACCACACTGGTTTGTCACTGTAGTGCCCTGCACGTCGTGTCCTCACGGTGTCGAGGAGAGGAGTTCACCTTCCCTCGTAAAGCAAGGGCTCTAGTTAGACTTGCATCTTATGGGATTGGCCCAAGTGAGTCTGTTTCATTCCAGGATCTAAGCTGACCATGACCAGTAGCCACGCTGGGGGGGAGGGGGGGATCCAAGAGAGCCATTTCCTTCTCGCCCAAGCACTGTACACGCACTCTTCGGAAAACCCGCTGAGATTGCTATTCAAACCACACAAAAGTGACCCCAAAGGTCACCAGTAACAGGAAGGAATGTGCCCTTCAAGAAAAGCCTAGTTTGTTCTAAGCCAAGTGAATGCCAAGGTTGGAAATGCAGATGCCGGACAAATTGGTGCTGCATCTGGCAGGCGGGACCTCTTCTATAAACGGTATCTGGTTTTATAGTTGGGGGACACTGGTGATCCATTCTGAGAAACATATTAGTCACCGGGATGCCAAGTCAGACAGCCAAGTTAGAGTAACCATCAGAGGACTTAAGTAAGCCTGAGGTCATTTTGGCTCTCGGGCCCCACAGTCACCACCGGACTCCATGACCGTTGCAGTCATCAGCTGAGGCAGTATCCTCAGAGACCTTCATAGCTCATAACTTACATTAACCTGCTTCTGTTAATCTGCATTCTGCCACACTGAGGGCCAAGGCCAAAGTATAGTAGTTTGGCGGTCATAAATATCCCATAGCATCAGTGGCCTCTATCTTTTTCAACTCCCCTCATCTTTTTCATTTGTTTTCGGACAGAGTCTCACTATGTAGTGAGACTGGCCTGGAACTTCTGCCCGCCTCTGCCTCTCCAAGTACATGATAAAGGCCTATACCCCTATGCCCAGATCCCCTTACATTTTATGGAGTAAGCTGACAGTTGTGTCTGGTAGCTCTCGAGGCCTGGAGGTTGGGGGTGGTGGGATTTGTAGCAGAGACAGTTTGGCCGTCAGGATGTTTACCAGTATCTAGGGCATGCAGGACTGTCTTGGAATCTCTAGGGACTGAATGTGGGTGGGGGCCACCTACTTAGAGAGAGGTAACCGTAGTGTGGTGTCCTGGGAGCGAAGAGATACAGGTGTAGTGACATTCAGGAAGCTGCCCCATTGGCTGTGCCTGTCTGGCTGCAGGATGTGGTGTGTGAATCTGGGAAGCATGCTGCCTAAGGTACCCCAGGGAGCTCTGGAAATGGGTCCTGCCTGAAAAGTAAAGCCTAGCAGCCTTCCTCACTCAGAAAGGCTTCTACCTCTCACGGCCGGGTAGGATTTGGGGCATCTGCTCTGGAGACCTTCGCGAAGCCAGACCAACTGCTGCATACTTGCTTTGGGCTCTGTCAGGGACTGTGACCCTAGACTTTGAACATACTGTTCAGGTGCCCACTCACGCTTGCATGTGCACATGCATAAGCTCTCACACACACGCTCACACGTGCGCACACACACACACCACCTTGCTCCAGCTCTGTCTCTGGATCTTGTCCCACAACCTCTCCGAATCAGCTTTCCCAAAGGATCCTGGTATGTCTGTGGGAATTACCTGGAATCGAGATTTGGCAGGAATTGGGAGCTGGACAGATGGCTCAGTTGTTAAGAGCATTTGTAGCTCTTCCAGAGGACCCAGGTTCAATTCCCAGCATCCACATGGCAGCTCACACCCGTCTGTGACTCCAGTTCTAGGGGATCCAATGTCTTCTTCTGGCCCCTGTGGGCACCAACCTGCACATAGTTTACAAATGTACATGCAGGCAAAACACCTAAATACATAAAATAATCCTAAACACAATTTAAAATTTTTTTTAAAGATTTGACAAGGGTTTAGTGGTACATACCTTTAATTCCCACACTTAGGAGGCAGAGACAGGGAGATTGCTATCTCCTGTCTGGCATAGAGAGGTCCAGGTCAGGGCTACATGGTGAACACCTGTCTCAAAAAACAATTTTTTTTCAGGTTGAGGCTAAAACGGGTAGGGTAGAGTAGGGGACAGGGACTCATGCATTGGCTCCTGGCAGACAATAGGGCAGGGAAGGGAAATGAGAGCTAGGGTGGGGACTTCTGACCTAAAAATCCCTGTGGCAAATCCCAGGTGTCTGGTGTCTCCACTGTCACTCCCTGCACTGAACGGAATTGGGGGCATAAAGAGTAAATGCAGCCTCTTCCCACCCACACTGACATGCCCAGAGGCGTGTCTTTTTGATGTTGGGGCCAAAGAAGGGGAAACATACCTCTGGTGGTTTCATGGCAAGCACCCATTTGGTTTGTAGCTGTGACCAAATCATGACCACGGAGTGGTCAAGAAAAAGTGAAATACTTACCAAAATTAAATCAAGACCAGATAAGCAAGTTAAATAGACCTATAACTTCTGAAGAAATAGAAACAGTCATCAAAAGTCTCCCAACCAAAAAAAGCCCAGGTCCAGATGGTTTCTGCTCAAAATTCTACAAGACTTTCAAAGAGGAACTAATACCAATACTTCTCAAATTATTCCACACAATAGAAACAGAAGGAACATTGCCAAACTCTTTTTTTTAATGTTTTTTTTAAATTATTTATTTATTATGTATACAATATTCTGTCTGTATGCCTGAAGGCCAGAAGAGGGCGCCAGACCTCTTTACAGATGGTTGTGAGCCACCATGTGGTTGCTGGGAATTGAACTCAGGACCTTTGGAAGAGCAGGCAATGCTCTTAACCACTGAGCCATCTCTCCAGCCCCTGCCAAACTCTTTTTATGAGGCTACAATTACCCTGATACCCAAACCACAGAAAGAGAATTACAGACCAGTTTCACTCATGAACATTGATATAAAAATACTAAAAAAAATACTGGCAAATCGAATCCAAGAACACATCAGAACCATCATCCACCATGACCAAGTCAGCTTCATCCCAGAGATGCAGGGATGGTTCAACATATGAAATCTGTCAACGTAATTCACCATATAAACAAGCTGAAAAATAAAAAACCACATGATCATCTCATTAGCTGCCGAAAAAGCTTTTTTTTTTTTGAGAAAAGCCAGCATAAAGCACTTTTATTGCAATAATAAAACTTGAAACGCATTTGTGGTGCAGAGGGCAAGGGACAAAAGCGTACTTTCTCTCACCAAATCACTACACAGGACAGCAGAGGGTGAGAAGGAACTGAGGGAGGAAAAGCCAGAAAGCCAAGATTAGCAGAGAGAGCCAAGCATCAGAACCCAGGAGATGCTGAAGCTGTGATGACCAGCATCATCTTCTTAGAGAACACTCAAGGATTTGTAGTGACGACTGGGCGTCCATCGGGTGGTGAGTCTACAAACAGCACCTTCAATTTAAACTTTCCATTAAAGTTCTTAAAATTTAGGAAGTGGAGCTTGGATAGTTACAAGATTACAAAAGTCCTGAAAATCCATTAGAAAAACCATAGGATGAAAAACAAATTAAGCCAGGTCACAAAGAAGGCTTCAAAGGTCCCTGTCGACCCAGGGACAGGGACTGTAGTGTCTAACACAGCAGTAAAGGGACCTGCTTTACAAGGCAGACAGTTTCAGAAGGTGGGAGGGCTGTCAAAGGCTCGCTCCCTCCCTTCCCACTTCAGTTTGGGTAGGGCTTTCAATTTAACAGGACTTCCCACACTGGAGAAAAATCCAGCCCTCAACAGCATCTCGAATCTGCTATGGCTTTGCAGCACAGCAGCAAGAATGTCTTAATATATAATAGATAAATTTTTCATCCAAAAAATTAAAATAAAATAAAATAAAAATTCTTGCAAATCCCACCCCCAACACCAATTCCTATTCTAAAGTTAACCCATCGCTTGTGCTGTTAATACTTGACAATATACTTCATTGGAAACCTAGATCTGAAAGACTTAAATTGAATCTTCACCCCAAAACAAAATAACTTGAGGTTTATGACATATAGTTTAGGTCAACACACATACAGAGAAGGAAGAGGACATGGAGGTGTCCGAAGCAAAGCCGAGTGACGGAACACATTCAGTCGGGTAGGTGTCTATACAAAGAGTGGTGGGCATCAGGAAAAGCTCCACATGGATTCATGTGCACCCGTCTGGAGGTACCAGATCCCTCCATGGCAGATCCATGTGCAAGGAGCTAAGGGAGGAGGCCACTTCTGTCATTCCAGTTTTAGAAGCTCCACATCGAAGACCAGAGTGGCATGTGGTGGGATGATGCCTGGGTGCCCAGTGGCTCCATAGGCATAATCTGGGGAGATTGTCAGTTTGTCTCTCTGACCCACACTCATCTGGGCTACCCCTTCTTCCCAGCCTCGGATCACCTCCTGATTCCCTAGCATAAACTTAAAAGGCTTGTTTCTGTCCCGAGAGGAATCAAATTTCTTTCCATCTTCAAGCATCCCCGTGTAGTGCACCACGCAGGTCTGGCCGCGCTTTGGGAAGGTGCGCCCGCCTCCAGGAGAAATGGTCTCCACCTGCACTCCCATGGTGGCGGCTGCGGCGTTGGCGGAGGAGGTGGAGGAGGAGGAGGAGGAGAAGGACGTGGGAGGCGGGGCTGCGGGCGGTGTGCAGCCGGAGCAGACCTGGCGGCGATTCAGCCCGAAAAAGCTTTTGACAAAATACAACATCCCTTCATGATAAAGTGAAGGGTAAGCCCAGCCCAATGGGGGGCATGTTCGCCTCGGGCTAATGTTTACGTATAAATCTGGCAGGTGTGAACCCTGCTGGTCCTTTTTTTTGTATTTCCTGCCCATCGCTGGATCCCTGGTGTTGTAAGCTATTCCTTCATTAAAATTTGCTGTTTCATATTAAGCTAGCCTGGTTAATATGCCACA